AAGCAGTTGTTCGAACAGAGCATGGGAACACTGAATGTTTTAAAATTGGGAAAGGTGTGCGACAAGGTTGTGTTCTTTCACCATATTTATTGAACCTCTATGCTGAGCATAGACTGAGACTCAATGGGAATACACGCTCTCATTGGTGACCACGTTTGTCACTGATAAGGGAAAGTGAGGGGAAAACAGCAATGAAGCTGTGAGCTAAGCCCTACAACATTCAATAGACTCCTGTGAACCCTGTTGGAGATCTGGTTGGCCAGCAGTGTGGCAAGACCGGGGGACTCTTGGGCCCAGAGTCAGAGACATAGCCACAGATGACTAGAGTATAGAGTGAAGCATTCAGCTGATAAGAAGAGAGGGCATATGCACAAGAACACCCACACTTGCAGAAAATATCCACTTGACCTGACTTCAATGACTGAATGATCAGAGCTCAACTAAAAGAAGAAAGAAGAGGGAAAAAAGAGTAATCTGATACAATCTGATGAACTTGGCCACACCTATGGATGCAGTAGCTCAAAAGAGGGAACAAATCTTTACAGCAAGGATCATTCCCACCCCCTCTATACACAGAGTAGACACGGATGGGCAAATTGGGCATTGACTACCCAAAGTGGGGAGTGTACAAAGGCAAGAAATGACTGGCTTGCAAGCTTTCAAGAGCGAATCTAGATCCAGAGATGGTGGAGGAAGGTAGGATCTCCACTGAGTAGTATCCAATTTGTATAGGTGTGGCTGATGAAAGGAAATGTGGATAGGTCTCTTGTGATACAATGGTGAATGGTAAATAATTGTTATAAGGACTGATTGTGAGGGTTGGAAATGTAAAGGTAGATGTTTTGTAGCAAGGAGGGGAGTGATTCTGGACATGTGCTGATATAGTCATCTTCTTTTGCTTCTTGGATATGTTTATTGTTTATCTGTGGCCTTAATACTTAATTGAGTATGTGTTTTGGTATTTTTTATGCTCTCTGATTGCATCTAGGTAGATGTGATCAGGAAGTGGGCTTCCCTTTTCACTCTTCTTATTGCTTAATTCAGAGTAACTTTCACAGCTACTGTCTGCCTCCCTGGTATATGGCAGTTTGTATTGGTTCTTGCCTCGGTTTTGGTGTTTTATAGAGTGTGATTGTAGCTTGAGTATATGGCAGCAGTTGTTGTCTCTTCTTGGGTAATATAGGGAGAGAAAGAGTCCCCCAAAGGTATAAGGGGGATCATAAAACAGCAAAACAGCATCAGCAAAATAAGTAAATAAATAAGAAAAAAAATTGCCCCCCCAAAATAACAATAGCAAAAAACAAACAAACAAACAAACAAACATAAACTGAATACTGTAGTCTATAATCACAGAAAAAGGAGAGGAGGGAGAGAAGAAGAAGAAAAAATCTATAGCCTAATTTGAGTATGACTTTAATGTCCTCTCTTCGGCTTTTTGCCTTCAAAGTTGCCTGAGAGATTTCAAGATGTTGGTTGTTACACTGTACTTCAGGATTTAATTGAATTTTCAGCTTGTTTTGTTTTTAAACACTCTTTCCCTCTCTACAACCCTGTCCTGGCCTTTCCCATATTAAAATCAAAAACAAAAAACAGTTCAGGGCCAGTTCTTGGGCTGAGAGTATCTGTGTGCATGCATGACAGAAGAACCCACTAGTGGTGAGGGCGGGAGTGTCCTCTTGCTCAGGCAACCCCTCTAGTCACAAGAATGGTGGTGCACAAACAGTGGGGAGGGGAGACAGTGAACTGATACAAGAAAAGAAAAAAGAAAAAAGACATCAGAACAAAACAAAACCGAAAAAGTGTATCATCCACCTCTGCTCCGAGGTTCCCACAGCATTTTTCTGTGGAGTGTCTGCTCCCCCACTTGGTCATGCCACTTGGTCTTACCCAAGTTGTGGGCTCTGGACCACCAAGCCCGGCAATTCAATAGTATGTGATTTCTGACTTTCTCATCAAGTTCCACTACCTATAAACCTTCATAATTTTCAAACACTCGTACCTATGTAGTTCCGAGTTTTGGAGCTCTGCCCTAGATCTGCTTTGTCTGGTATTCTGTGGTATTGGTAGCAGCAAACTTCACTACACCTCAACCCTAGCCACCATCTAGCCCCACCTCCAGTAATTTTTATTTTTAAATTTTATTTTTGAATGAAACTAAGATAATATATATACATATATTAGAGTCATTTATGTTATGCTGTTAAAACACACAAAAAAATTCATTTCTTAATTTCCTTAACAGGAATTATAATCTATTTCATATTGTACCTGAAAGCTTTCATCTCTGCCTCGATAAGCTTACTGTTACTAGGTGGTGCCAACATTAAAGTAGAGCCAACTACATCAAGGACCACTGGAATTTTTGAGAATGACTTTTCAGTTGTTTTAATCTTTTCTTTTAGTGGATGTATCTCTTTATTAAACTTCTCAGCTTTGTTTTTAAATCCTTCTTCAAGCTGTTCTCCTTGGGCCTAAAATAGTGAAAGAGTAGCTTTTAAAAATTTTAATTAAAAGAGTATGGTTTTTCATTCAACAATATCATTAGATGTAAGTATTCCTGTCTATTTCTTTACCAACTTAGTGGGGTTGATGATGTGTTTTTACAGTCCATTCACATGTTTGAACCTATACATTGATAGTATATATAGTTTGAAACTTCTTCAAATTCCCTCACCATCATCTCACTGAGAGGAGGTACATTGCTGCTCAAGCATAATGCTTTCCAACCCAAATGATGAACTTTGGGAAGGAGCGTATGTTTGATGTGAATTGATTCTCAGTTCTAACTGAGAAAGCATGGCCCCACACATCTAACAAATAATGAATGGACTTGCTGACCCTGTATAGAAAACTGCCTTTCAAGATCCAAGGGAGGGCAATGAATGCATATTATAGCAGGTTGCATAACATGACTCAGGGAGATTTGCAAATAAATACAACAAATATCAGGGCACCCTGTGTTTAACATCAGGGCAACTCTAATACTTTCAACAGCTGATGAATCTGCTTCAGATATCCTTGATGTTGCACCAGGAATCCTAAGGACTATAGGACTAAGACCAAATTCAAGCAGGGCAAATTAGACTTCTCTACAATCACATCTTCTCTTCCAGCTGCTCCATACTTTTCTTGAAGCTCCTCTCTTGATCTGCCTTCTCTTGCTGCTGCTCCTTTATTTTCTGTTTCAGCAGATAGTTTTCCTTCTCTACCGCCTCCTCTTTAGCCTGCTCTGCTGTCCCACAAAGGTTGTGGGGAGGGAAGGCAACAGGTCAGGCCTGATCTATACTCTCCTGAGATCATGAATCAAACTAACTTTGAAATTGGAGAGTGCAAGTCTCTGTATTCTCCTGACAATACACTCCATCAATGACACCTGAGAATGTGATGAGCAAGGTTCTGCTTGTCTGACTGAACATACAATCACAATTCCCCCTAGTTATTTTTAGACTCAAGAGAATATGTGTTCCATAGAAAGCTAGAAGCTTTTTTTTACAAGGCATTGCAGGAGCTTCCCCCACCCCACTGTGGACTGAGTGCTCCCCCCTGTACCTGCTGGGACCATGTTTCTGTTTGTGAGGGCTTTTTTCTGACCACAGGATGGATTTCTCTATTGGTGCCTGTGACTGCAGGAATTTCTGAATGACCTCGTTTGCCTCAGGCATCAACAAGGAATATAGCCACTTCAGGCAATAGAGATTTAGTCTCATTCTGCGAAAGACTTGTGCCATAAAACTTCAAATATGACACTGAAAAGTTTGGAAATGATTGAGAGGATACTCCAAATTTTCTTTTCTTTCTGTAACCAACGTATAAATTCCAAGCCAATTTGAGGCCATGAAACCCTTCATCACAGTCTCTTTCTTAGTGCTCCAGCCTCTTTTCCCTGTCTGTCCATTTTCCTTCCAGGTAATAGCCAAACACATTTGTGTGAAGTTCTACAACCCCATAAAACATGATTTTTTCATAGAGTTGAACATTCTTTTATTTCTGTCTAAATTTTTGTAACTAGAATAACAACGATCAATAATACCAACTGCATTATTAATACAATTTTAATTATCCTAATGTGGTGCTGTGGGCTAATGTGCTGAATTGCAAAGTCAATTTGAACCAAAAGGTCAGTGGTTCAAGCTCACCAGCCACTCCTTGGAAACACTATACAGGACCACTTTGGGTCAGAACCAACTCAATGGCACATAACAGCAGCAGCAGCTGTATATTATATTACTCAACTGTACAATATGGATAATAGTTGTTGTTGTTAAGTGCTGTAGAGTCAGTTCTGATTCATAGAAAACATGTATAGGGTTTCCATGGGGCATCTAGTGGGTTTGAATCACTGACCTTGTGGTTAGCAGTTGAGTGCTTATCCTACAGCGCAATGCAGGATGATAGTAGTAATGCTGTAATTAAATTATTATTGTTGTAGTAATATTATAATTAAATTATTGTTGTTGTTAGGTGAGGTTCAGTTGATTCCACATGGATAGTGAAACCATATGACAGATTAGAACTGCCCTATAGAGTTTTATAAGTTGTAAGCATATGGAACCAGATCATTATGATTATTATGGTGTATATCATATATATATGTGTGTGTGTGTGTGTGTGTGTGTGTGTGTGTGTGTGTGTGCATGTATGTGTCTATGCATATATGTATATGTGAATTTGCTGTCGGGCATGGCTGAAAATGAAAGAAATATTTGAGAACACTCATTAATAGAATATGAAATGTATGAAGTATGAATCTAGGAAAATTAGAAGCCATTAGAAATGAAACAGAACACATAAAGATCAATATTATAGGCATTAATGAACTGCAATGGACTGGTATTGGCCATTTTGAATCAGAGTCAAGAACAGAATAAAATTATAAGAACAGAGGATCTGAGAGGTCAGTCTATGATCAAAACAATTACAATGTGAAAAAAGGTAAACACAGAGGAACAGAGATCCAGGTGGTGGGAAGGTCAGGTAGATTACTGGATAAAATAGACTGTCTTAAATGGAGGGAAGAACTAATGGAATATAAGGTAACCATAATGGGGTTGGGGTGGGGGGTTTACTTTGGGTGTTGGGGAGGGCAATACAAGAAGGGGGGAGGAGGCAGAAGAACAAGATAGATAGGGGAACACTGAGACAGGCAGGTTTGCATGGCCTAGTGGGACAGAGGTAAATAGTGATGCATACTCAACCTTGGAGCAACAGGGCTCTGGGATAGAGGGATCTAGGTATAGCTTGAAGAGGGTAAATAATATTAAAATCTTTGACTGCCTTATGAATATTAGTTTCCCTTGCCTACTATTATAAAACAGACACTTGAGTGGGATAGAAAGGAATGTTGTGAAACATGATTAGAGAAAACTTATAAGCCCACCTTCAGCCTATAACTGATTGGAATACCTAAAATGGGTTCTACAACTTTCCCAGTGGAATAGGCTGCATGCAAAGCCTTTACAGAGTATAGGACCTTAGGTGGAATCCTAATTCCCATCCACAACCTTGTGAGGTGAGACATTCCCACTAGATAGGACAAGCAGACTGGAACAGCTACAGTGACAGAAGATACATCTTCATGATGAACCTGACCTATACTCAGAGCGGTTGTTGTTGTTGTTAAGTGCTGTGGAGTCAGTTCCAACTCATAGCGACCCTACACAGGGTTTCTGAGGCTGTAAATCTTTACGGGAGCAGACTACCTCATCTTTCTCCCGCGGAACCGCTGGTAGTTTCGAACTGCTGACCTTGTGGCTCGCAGCCTGATTCATAACCAGTACACTACCAGAGCTCCTTACTCAGAGCGGTAGTTACTCTAAATACAAACAAAGAGGGAAAAAGAGTCTTCAAATTAAATATCAATGCTATCCGCTATGTAGGGATGGTATACAGGGATGGGCAACTTAGACAGTGGCTACCTAAAATGAGGGCGCAATAGAGGCACGATGTGACTGGCTTACCAGGTTTCAAGAGGGATTTAGTCTAAGAGTATGGGGGGAAAGAAACAGTCCCCACTGGATGGCTGTCATCTTGTCTGGATGGGCATGGTGAAAAGAGATGGGGATAAGATTTGTAAGATTCAATAGTGAATAACTGTTATCATGACTAATCGCGACTGTCACAATTGTAAAGGTAGAAGTTTTGTAACAAAAAAAGGGGAGTGGTTGAACTTACAGTCCAGAAACAGAGGACCCTACGACCATCAAGAGAGGAATACATAAGCAGAAAGCGGGACCTTATCCAGAGAGGCAGCAGTGGCAGTGAAGGAGGCAGAGATGGGGGCATGGAGAGGGGGTGTGGCTGAGGACTCTAGATTCATGGACTAAGAAGAGAAGGACTAAGAGCTGGTGGCCAGGAGCAGACTTGCAGAATGTTCCCTTTGGAGATATAAATTATTATATATGCCTGAGTAGTTTTTTTTGTTTGTGTATTTTTTAAAAAAAGCTAAAGTGGATAGAGAGAAATACTGTTAACTGATGGTACATGGAGGGGATTATAATCAGTGTAATGAAACAAGGTATATGATTTGTTGAATGTAAAACTGATGATATACCCTGTAAACTTTCACTCAATCCACAATAAAACCTTAAATTAAAAAGAAAAAAATAAACCCAAACGGCCACCACTTGTCTGTCTGTCATTCTGTGGTGGCTTGAATTGCTGTGATTCTGTGATTCTGAGGGCTATGCCACCGGTATTTTAAATAACCAGAAGGGCCACCCATTCATAGTGGACAGGTTTCAGATGAGCTTCCAGACAAAGACACACTAGGAAGAAAGAGTGACAAACTATTGCCAAATCGTTAGTCACTGAAAACTTTATGAATAGTAGAGAAACACTGTCAGATTCAGGGCTGGGAAATGAGCCCATCAGGTTGGAAGCACTCAGAATGCGACTGGGGAAAAAAATGCCTCCTCAAAGTAGAGTTGACCATGATGACGTGAATGGAGTTAAGCTCTTGGGAGAAAAGACCACAGAACCTTCATTTGCTGATTGGGCACAACTCAAAATGAAGAGAAACAGCTGTAAATATCCATTGAAAATTGGAACATGGAATGTACGAAGTATGAATCTGGGAAAATTGGAAGTTGTCAAAAATGAAATGGAATGCATCAACATCTATATCTCAGGCAACAGTGAGCTGAAATGGACTGGTATTGGACATTTTGAATCTAGCAACTACGTGGTTTACTATGCAGGAAATGAAAAATTGAAAAGGAATGGTGTTGCATTCATCATCAAAAAGAACATATGCAGATCAGTCATGATGTACAATGCTGTAAGTGATAGGAAAATATCCATGTGCCTAAAGAGAAGCCGGTTAATACCACTATTATTCAAATGTATGCACCAACCACTAAAACCAGTGAGTATGAAATAGAAGAATTCTATCAACTTCTTCAATCTGAAATCAATCAAACATGTAATCAAGATGTATTGCTCATTACTGGTGACTGGAATGCAAAGGTTGGGA